TTGCCTGAAATTTCGACATCATGCTAATGTAGAATGCATTGGACATTGTAGCTCAGTTTCACTGTTTTTCTGAGGATAGTAGTTCTTCCTCTTATTTTTCCTAATGAAACCCTTGTTTCAGAGTGGTTTGCGCTAAGTCCCAATTATCCAGTGAGTTTAGAAGATAACTGATAGGTGATTTACAATATAATTAATAGAAAGGTAGGGTACACCACTTTGTCCTCACTCAAGGGACAAGTAATAACTTACTGTAAGTAATAAATGACCCAAAAGTAATAATTTAAAATGATCATTTGGAGTAAGACTTAGTTAAATATAATTAGGTTTCAAAATATTAATATTTCTAGCGTGCTTACAATTTCCAGGCTGTTTTTTATGTGTTTCAGCTCATTCAGTACTAAAAATAAACCATTACATGGCTTTTATTTTCCCCATCTACAAATGAACAAACCCAAATGAAGAGGAATGAGCTGGATGGGATGGTTAGGTAGCAAGACTGAAATCCAGCTTTTCCGACATAAATCACGTTTATTTTTTTGACCATGCCACATTGTTATGGAGGAAGCATATCATTAATTTATTGGTTCAATTGTCTGCATTATTATACATTTATGGAGTCTTTTCTCTGTATGGGAGCCTCTGTAGGTGCAAAGATTGCGACTATAAACAAAGTGCTCCAAAAGTAATCGGAGTATAGTGTGATTGCTATTTTTATCAAGGTTTGCACATTGTGTTGGGCAGCGGAGATGAAGTGGGTGGCTGAATCAGAAATGCCACAGAAGTCCATGTTTGAGCCCAGTCTCAGGGTAATAAGAATTACTTGTTGCATTGTTTGGTTCCATAAATATTTTTCCTTCCACCCTCCTCACTCCCTCACCTCAGAGAAAAGTAAAGGGCTCCGTCAGCAACTCCAGCTCACTGCCTGCTTACCGACAATGGTTGCTGTTAGAGAAAACCACCATCAGCTCTGCCGGCCTCGTGGTCGCAGGCATGGCATCTGTCACTGGGCTCACAGAAACTTTTCATGAAATGTGGAAGCCCAAAACACGTGTTGGTAAATACCTGTCAGAGTGGAAGCGCTGTATGTCATGAACAGATAGGTAGAGCAGTTTAAAACCACTTAGAAATTATAGTGATTCAAAATCCAAACGGTCTGTTTTCTGTTCGTTTCCCAAGGCAAAAGTACTACTGGACAAGGAAGTACTCTCCTGAAGGAGTCCTGGTTTTCTCTCCCTCGTGGTAATGGCCTTGGACTTCACCGTGTATGTGTATCTTTGTGTCCCCCTGTCCCCCTGCACATACAGCCCTTCTCATGGGAAGAAGCCCTAAAAATAGTTCCCAGTACAATAAGCCAGGATTCCCAGAGAATGATTTTTAAACTTATATGTCAGAAATATTGTTTCTTGTTCTTTGTTATGACAGATGTTGAGAGCATTTTTTTTTCACGCTAAATGCCACTCAGTCTATTTCTGATTTTTTTCCAGTTTTCAAATGGCAGGCTTTTTAATATTCAGTGGGATGAAACACTAAACAGCCTCCCAGTTGCAGTCTGAAGTTATATTCTTTCATCGTTGCTCTGGATGGCTGGAATTACTGGGAAGGTCTGGAGGTGGAAACGTTGCATCAGTGCCTTTTGGGAACCCTGTGCATCCTCTGACAAAAATGACTCATTTTTTCAGCATGTATGGTTAATTTTCTGAACTGTGTTTCTGGTTTTGGTTAGGGTGTTAAAGAGAAAGGAGCATTTTTCTTAGAACAGGTAGAAAAGATTTAAAGTCTCGTACTGATCATATAATTAATTCTTAGTCGTGAATTCATTGTGATGGTATTAACTCTCCCCCAGAGGCACAAAACTAGTTTCTTGGACCACATCCCATATTCCTTGGGGACAGGGAGAATGCCACAGGGCCCTGAAGAAGGAAATATTGGCTTTTTGATTTCGTTTTTATTTCTAAAGAAAGAACAGTTCTGTTACAACGTATGTACATTATTTGTCCTTAATTCAACTGCTTACAAAACTTAGTGAGAGGACTCATTTTTTTTCTTTCTGATATTTTAGAAACTAATGGACAATGAAAAAAATAGTGATCTTGCCTTTATATAATATACCTATTTAGATCATAGAGTTGGAGTCGTTTTCTTCTTCCTAAAATGAGCGCCACCCTTTCTTTAAAGAGTATACAAAACAGAGGAACGTTATGAAATTTGAATTCTGGATTTGAAAATTTCATGCTTTCTTCTCTTCTGTCATCTGGTGGTACCAGCTTGGTTTATAAGTAAGTGGCTTAAAGTGGACCCTAAACTGTGGCTTCAAATTTCTACTAAGTAAAATTCATTTTTTTCTCGACATCTAAAAATATGTTGTTAGCCACAATTATGTTGCTTGTTTAATCCCATTCGTGGTTATCACTCTTTTTATCACTCATTTCCCTTGAATAATTGGAAGCCTCTCGTGTTAAGGAACAACTTAAGCCCGTATGATAACAGTTCTGTCTTTCCGAGTGAATCACTGTTACTCCTCCTAGGAAATTCAGTAGCTGCAGCAGATGTAATATTGTGTTTGCTAAACTATGTTACCACCACTTTCCCCGGTTCAATCTGAAACGTGTGAATAAAGCCAGCATGTTGCAGATAGAACTGTAAGATAATCTCACATAACACAGGGCAACATGCGTAGACTTGTCCTGCATGCTCCTTGCTTTGGAAACTTCAATCAACCCCGGTATTGTTTTGACTGGACCAAACATTGGTTAGTCATCCTTTTGTCGCTTGGCATTTTTGACAGGAAGGAACTTACGTGTGTGAAGCCCCTAGAGTTATACCAAGTGCTTTACAGATGACATGATACTTAATTCTCCAAAGACTCCTTATGATCTCCCTTCTCTAGATAACAAAATCTCGACTCAGAGAGGGTAAGGAATTGCGGTGACCCCAGAGCAAGGAGAACTCGGCTGAACCTAGGAGTCTCTGATTCCATTGCCTGGTATTTAGCCTGTGGAGTTGGGGCCTCTCACGGTGTGTGTGTGTGTTTGTGTGTGTATTTCCTCCCATCACCGAATTCTTGAAAAAGGAAAAGGATAGATATCATGGGAATCATTTATTATACTGGTGTCCTAACCCATGCTTTCTTTACAACCACAACATCAGCATTTGGGTGTTTTCTCAGGGGGAAAAAATCTGTAAACTGAAATAGGAAATTTTTATGTAATGGAGCCACATGGAAATTTGAGGCATTGTCCAAAAAATTGTTTTGACCTCAACTCTGCTGCTGCTGTGAAGAGGAAGCCACTTTTGCCCTTTGGGTTGAATTCTCCAATGCTTTCAATCCCCCTTTATAAACAGGAACGCTAATGTGGCCAACAGAGATGGGTTTTCACCGTTGTGCCCGTTCATAGAGGTTGGTGGATTGCTGTGCACCAACCGGGCCTCTCGGGTAGCCAGTCTGATCTGTAATGCAAACTGCTCAAAGAACTGGAGTTAACAAGAGAGTGAGGGAAATAAGGACTTTACAGTTAGGGTGGAAGAGTAAAAACATCTCGGCAGTTTGATGTTGCAAGAGGAAACAGTGAGGCTGACTTTTCCTTCTGTGCTGAATGGTTGGATAAAGGATGACAGACCAGGTGGAAGGAAGTTACTCAAACCATCTGAGTACACTTCATTGAAAAGGCGGGTACCAGTGGTCCACTTTGACCTTCATCACTCTTGGGTCTATTTCAGCCAAGTAGCTTCACAAACAAGGGCAGAGGCGGGGAGGACTCTTTGTGCTTTTGACATTTCTCCTGTATTCCCACAATTCCTACATAGGGTGGTGGGTTCTTTTTCTCTCCATCCATGAGTCCAGTTTGAGGGAATTGAGAATGCAAGATGAGAATGAATTTTTTTTTCTTTTGGAGCGTAGAAGGATATTAGAGAAATGGTCTTTTAAATTTAGACACTTTTGCTCAGTAACTGAGTACAATTTTAACCCAAGTAAAATTTTAGATAGGAAAAAAAAAGTTTTGTTAGAGTTATCGGAGGGTTTAGGTGTGATATATTAGATGTAGCAAGTATAATGTCCCAGCTTGGCAAGAATTGAGCAGGTACTCGGTGAATCCTGGAAGCAGTGGATTTTATAAGCTAGAATATCATATCAAATATTAGAAACTGTGTAAAATTTCCACTCTGGACGAAGTATACTTTTCTCCATTTGAGTAATTTCTAAATTACTTACAAAAGCATTCACTACTTAACAGGGTAAGGCACGTTTAAGTTTTTCCATAAGTAAAGATAATATTCTTAGAAAGCCGAATTCCACTTCACATGAAGAATTGTAGACCGAGGAAGATAGCCTTATATTTGCTTCCAATTCCATGAAAGAAAAAATAATCATTTGTTGGGCATCCTCCATGGAAATCTGCTGGGTAGGATGCGGTCCTCAGTAGTGTAGTATCTGGCGACTTTGCAGCCTGTGTCCTTACTCTGTTTCTGAGGTGGTTGCCAGAGGGTGACTGCAATGGTCATCAGGCCGGCAGTAGATTTAAAACATGATTAAAAATACAGTGGCATTTGGCTAAGAAGCCACAGTATTAGGAAACTGCAGCTTCTGAATAGCCAACACGCCCTGTTGTTACCTGCTGGAAACATTTCAGAAGTACTGTGAGGGAAGGGCCAGGGGAAAGTCAGCTGGCAGATAACCTTGCGAAGACAAAGATGAAATCAGGGGCAGCCAAACAGAAGGAACTGCAAAGTCCTCTGGCAGAAACATCTGCCCCCACGGGGAAAGGAAGCTCTTGGTTGTATGGGGCTTCCATGGGATGCTCCCACACTAAGAGTGGTTGCCTCTGAGTGAGGAGGCAGGGACTCGGGGGGAGTCACTAGATATGTATGTTGTGAAAACTGTGACACCTCTTAGAGTTGCTCTGTTGATAATAACCATGCTCTTACACCACAGTAAACTAATTTCTGGAGCGGGACAACAACAATACAGTAACTGAGTTAAATCTTCCTTTTATGTTTCTTAGGAATGCGAGAAAAAGGGCTTAATCGAAAGAATCTATATGGTACAGGATATTGTTTCCACAGTTCAAAACATCTTGGAGGAAATAGCTTCTTTTGGAGAAAGAATTAAAAAGTAAGTTCTACATTTGCATTGTGGTGTTTGAATTAGCGCTTCCATTCAGAAGGATGAGTGGGGGTGGGAGGGGCAAGATCATAAAATACAAAGACCTAAACCAAAAGCGATGGTGTCAGGCACACCCTGTTCAATTTGGTGGGTTTGCTGCCTGGGTTTGTCCGTCTCACAGTTGGGCAAGTCCTTTAGACAGGGGCGACCATATGGTCTGCTCTACACCAGTGGTCCCAGCATAATTACTCATAGTGCTCCCTCTCACTCTCAAAAATATCCTGGGTCAGGTGATGAACTAGATTTTAAAAAATAGATGGCCCTATTCACAAATAAAAGGGAAAGCACATATGCTTTAAAGGAGCCTTTTAAGAAAATATCTGACCCACAGACCAGTCATGCCTTGAGTGAAATGTTTTCTCAATTCTTCAAGTAATGGTACCTCACTAGTAGCATCATGGATGCAAAGATGTGAAGTTAATTTATTGTGTACGTGAGTGCCTCAGGACAGAGGTCAACAGACGTTCTCTATAAAGGGTCAGAGAATAAGTATTGATATTTCTGGCTTTGTGGGCTACATGGTCTCTGTCACAACTACTCAACTCTGTTGTTTCTGCGTAAAAGCAGTCACAGTTGATATGTAAATGAATGGGTTTAATATGTGTTCCAATAAAACTTTATTCGAAAGTGATTGCCCTTCCCTATCTTAGAGCATGGGGCTAACTTCTATAAAGGAGTCCCAATTGAGAAAGACTCTGCTATGACTTGTGTTTGTTGGTTTATTTTGCTTGTTTGTTTGTTATACATTATTAAACTGTACACAACTTGTTCTTCATTTGGTACCAATGAGTAGACTAGTTTTTAATTGTTTTTGAATCGTAAACTTATTATTTCTCCCTTTAAATGCCTCTTCAAAGAAGAATTGTGTTAGTCATGTTTTTTTCCTAAATATTAATTAATACCTTTTAAAAATTCTTGTTAGTCAATCTATTTTTTTTAAGTAAAGGAGATGATGTTTAGAAATTGCATTTGGGTAAAGGAGAGAAAAAATAGTGCTAAAAGCCTAGTGAAAGTTTTGTCTTATTAAAATGCAGAGAAATTGGTAAATGATCATTAATATCAGGAAACATAAATATTTAATATGAAACTTTCTTTGGATACTGATCTTCTTTCTCAGTTCCTTATCAAATGGAAGTACCCTTGCCTACCCATGTATTATTATCAGAGTAAACATGTTTCTTTTGTTTAAAAAATAGGTTAATAATCATCTTTACAGAAACTTAGTGAGTTCACCTTTGTAAAGGGAATTTGATAAAGGCAATTGTTATTCCCTTTATCAATGTCATAGAAAAAGAAAAATTAAATAGTAGAACTTTTGCTTCTATATGTCAATCTGCTTTATTCCTCCATTTGATATATGTAGACAAATGATTCCTGAATTTATCTTCAAAACTGTTTAACCAAAACATAACTGACAGTAGAAAACAGTGAAATGAAGAGGGAGAAATTATAATTCTTCATTCATTCACTCATCAACCATCAGTAATTGAGTTTTGAGCACTGACTTGGTCTAAGAATGAGAGGTGAATCCATAACAACAGTCAGAGCAACACCAACTGATGTCATGTACCTTCCAATCTTACAAGCCCTCTGCTCATAGTAACTTCTTTCAGGAGTTACTTGAAGGAATTAGATTAAGTGATTTCAATACCCCTGTGCATTAAGGATTCTTAACATCCCCATTTTACAGAGTAATTAACCATGTAGCCCAAGGTCACACAGCTAGTAGCCATGGAGCTTGGATTTGAACCTGGCCTCCTCACTACTGCATTGTAACATCATTATATACCAGGGATCTATTTTCCATTGAGGGAGAAGACCAATAATAAAACAATTTGAATTCAGGAGCATTGATGCTAGATAAAGATAAGACAGGATGTTGGGGGAGGTCTGACCAGCCTAGAAAGAGGGAAGTTCTGATGAAGTGACAATTTATCAGCTTTCCTGAGACTGGGAAGGGGTGTCTCTGGGTGCAGGATTGAGGAATGGTGGCTTCGGTAGGTACGGACCATTGTGCTAAGGCCCAAGGCTCAAGACTCTGCTCGACATAGGGAGACAGAGTGATATAGCACATCTGTGCCATAGGCCATGGTTATGGCAGGCCTGGAGGTGAGGGGTGCCATTCAGGGACTTGAGTGGATTGAAAAGCCATGGGAAAAAACGGAGCGAGGGACGATTGGCTGCAAGGAGGCTGCGAGGCTGTGGAGTGGGGGCAAGACCAAGGAAGGAAGCCCATGTCTTTGGTCAAACCATCCTCATGCCTGAAAGCCTGTAACAGACAAATGTGGCTCTTGTGTACTTGATAATGATCAAGGAAATGTGTCTGATGGGAGAAGAGGGCAGAGTGATTTAAACAGGCCTCCCCCCCCTGCCGCCCACTTGACAGTGCTTTTGAGGGCCGGCTGCGCCCAGCACAGCTGCAGTGGCCACGTCCGAGACGTATTTTCAGCCATGAACAGGGCACTGTTCTGCCCAGCTGCAACACAGGAAGGCTCAGCTCCTATTAATCCTCTGACCATTCATTACTACAGTGACCTTCATGTTGCTGCTGGGCATTCAAGTGGGATGGCATGTGTAACTCCGTTGGAATTCCATTGTGATTCAGTGCTTAAGGACCAGGAAAACTTTTACCCAACTATTGGCAACTAGCAAATAAAGACTCACATAAAACCCTGACAAATGCAAGGCTTCTCTGTTATGGATGGAGTGGATCCTATTGGTACTACATATATATGGAATGAACTATGGTGTTTTTTTTTACCTACTCTAATATTACACATATTCCAAAGGCACAGATATATCAGGCTAAAATGTGAATCACCACGTTGCATCTGTATTATCCCAGGCAGCAGGCAGGATATCAAAAGTGATTTATACGTCCTGTCTCTAGGGAGTGGTGGCTCAGACTGTTGCATTGTTGAGCCAGTAGGGAAATCTCCACGAAGGAGATGATGATGTTAAGGTGGACCTAGGCCAGGGACATCACCCCTGTAAATGGTCCAGAGTAAGGCTTCAAAGGTACATCCTCAGGAACCGGAACTTTTCTGGTTAGGACGTGATGTTAAGAAACATAAGTAATGCAGATGAGAAGGCAGGTTAAGTGCATTTTGAATTAAGAAGATCTGGGAATGATAAATCAATGTGTCTTATGTTTAACCTAAGAGGAGCATGCTGAAAGGGACCAAGAATAAAGGCAGAAAAACCAGAGAGAGGGCCATAGGCCACTTGTGAAGAGAGCAGTCACAAGTTAGTGTGAAAACCATGCTTGTACATTACAGAAGAATAATCTACATTCTACAAGATTGTAAATCCAGTTGTCTATTTCTGTGGGCAGGAGAGTGAAAGGACTTCATTCATTCAAATCTGGAAAATGAGGAAAACTGATTCTATTAAAACAAAGATCCAAGAGTGAGGCAGCCAGTTTGGTGAGGAGTAAGACTAGACAATGCATTTACCCCCACCTTTGCAGATGGAGCCACATCCTTTTTATAGAGTTGAAATTTTGAAAATGATATTTTGAAGGCATGCTAGTGAATCCCAGTGGTCGAATGAGTGAAAGCAATTCATTCATTTTTTTCAACTAATTGGAAGGTTTGGCTCATTTGTCTCATTACCACCCAAATCAGGGATTCCCCCCTTAGAATTTAGGGAGCTCCCCAGTCAGGGAAATTGAGGAAATCTATGAAAATGTTTAACAAATTCTTTGATTTCAAGATGGAAAGCTTTGATTGTCCGGGCTCTTCAACCTTGGGTGTTCTGTGGAAGTGCTAACCAACTACAGGACACTCCATGATAAAGGGAGAAAGAGTCTAGTAAAAGCTTTTGAGCGTCAGGGGTTATTACTAGACAGTGTACTGGCTGGCAGCCCTGTGAGCATGTGTGATAGCTTCACCAACATTCTCTCTGGCCCATGGCCCATGGGCTCCCTGGCCCATGTCAGGGCACTATGCAGCTTCCATTGTAAATGAGTCTGGAATTTCCAGATCTGTAATTAGAAAACACAGAAGCACTGAAGCACTGTAGTAATATCCTCCCCTTCCTAAATATGTACTGGCAGCCATGTGCTGAGAGACATATTGACTTCGAAGTGACCTAAATAACCCTTCGTTTTGAAGATCGCCATGCATGGAGCTAGGGTGACAGTATTGCAGTTTGTAATCACTTTTGAGAGCCAAGGTCTCTCTTTGGAACTGTTGGTTCCAGGAAGTTCAGTGGCACTTGGGCTGGAGACTTTCTCCGGAAGAATGTTTTTGCAGTGCCCAATCATTTGGGAAGACTTTCATCTCTAGGTTTCCAAAGCAACTTTTGCAGTAGACTGTTTTCATTTGTATAACTAAGAAATACACGTGACAGAATGAATCTATGTTGCCATTCATGCCTCGGAGGATGTGACACTTGTGTTGTTTTTCTACAGCACGTTTAACTGGACGGTCCCGTTCCTTTCATTCCTGGCCTGTTTGATGCTGGCGGTCGCTACCATCATGTTGTACTTCATCCCACTTCGGTACATCATTTTACTCTGGGGTAAGTTTGGCATGGCCCTTTTGCTATCAATTCCCGGTAAGAACCAATTACTCCTCTTTAAAGTGCGACTGTAAACTTTAAATGTGCTCCCGTTGGCAATTAAATAAGAGATTAAAGGAACCATGTAGGGAACCCCAACTTCTAGGACTTCCCTGCAAAGGCCAATTGTGTGAAGGATCTGCATAGCTATTGAAAAGCCTCTCAAATAACTGTGATCAAATAAAAATGGGATCTTGCATGTGACTTCCCTTTGGCTTTCATGGCAATAAATCCTCTTAAATAATATGTCATGTGGTCCAGGAACTTTCAGGATACACTGTTATCCAAACAATGAGCAAACACCTGTACTTGCTCTTGACATTATGTCAGAGTAACCAGCTTTCTCCTGACACTTCATTTCTTCTGAAGGAAAAATTAATACAACCCAATACTCAAATCCAGAAGCAGTGGGTGCAAGAGAACCGCTCTCAGTGACTTACTTAATTCAGGGCCAGAAAGGAGAGGAAGCTGTTACCAGGGGAAATGGTGTATACAGTTTAGCTGCTTTAAAAAGGTAGAGGTAAAAATGGCAAACTTGAAATAAATTTCACGACTTGATTTACTACGCCAGCCAGCCGTCAGATGAAATACGAGTGGCTCCGTGAATATGTGTAGCTCGCTGGGTGGGCTTGGGTTGCTAGAAGGAGGGTGCATTGCAGGAAATTAATTGCTGGAGACACCATCCACCTTTCTGAGTCTGTCGCAGTTTTCCGTTGCTTGGCTCCCATGACTGCCGCTGAATTCTCAATCATTGTCACTATTAGAGATCTTCCCTATTAAGATCTTCAGAGAGGTTTCCAATATAAGAGATCACAATGAGGTGCCTTCATCTTTACGCAAAAGCTAACAGCCCCCCACAAAGGTAGGATAAACCTACAACATTCCTAAAAGAGAAACCACCAAGGTAGAATCCCGATGTCAAAGGAAGCCAAACCTAGACAGTGAGAAAAGGGCAAAATCATAAGGAAATAGAATAACCCACAACATTTCAGAAGCAGAATGATTTTAGGAGAGCACGGTCCATTCATTCTCCGTTTTGTGCAGGAGGAGAACCATGACTTATTTAACTTTGTTTGATAGCACACTATCTCGTACCTGGAAGGCACTCATTCAGGATCTGATACAGAAGCAAGCAAAGCCCTTCCACCCCACCTCACCCACCCCCACCAATATACTGCAGTCAGGGCTACATGCCAGTCACTGATATAGAGGGGTGGGCAAAAATAGGCCTACAGTTGTTGGTGTGGAAAAACACATGCAGGTTATGATTCTCACCATAGTTTTATTAACTTGATGTCACAATGAGACTGGAAACTTACTTTTGCCCGCCTTTGTAAATACCGATATCTGAAACAATGTTATAATTCAGAATCACATATAACACATATTCCCCATATGTGCAAAGCAGCCGTGCAATTTTCCTCCTTCTGACTTTCTCCCGGTGATCTTTCAGTGTTTCACTGGCGGGCTCATTCCACTCCACTGATCTATTCTAACTGTGTTCTGAGACCGTTCAATGATAGTGTCTTTCTCAAATGGTACCCCTTGGTATTTGGATCCCACTGACTTTTTTTTTTCTTTTTTGGCTAAAAAATAAATAAATGAAAATTCACAGCAGACATGCTTTCTATCGGTATTGTTTAGGTTAAAAATCTGAAACTTTGGATGTGTGATCACAATCCTTGTAGTGTTAAGACCTCCCCAATTGCTGCCTTTTTTTGGTTTCTTGGCTTATTGCCATCTACAGTAGTGAGGGTACCTGCTTCTGTCATGGTTGGAGTTTCAGGTGATAGAATCCTCTTGCCTGTGCTATCGGGGGCGATTCTCCGGTCGACCAAGGAAACTGAGGAGGGCTGGTCTTTATTATTCAAAATTTAATACTAGAACCCTGAGGCAAGGGGAAGTCAAATGATCTGTCTGAAGTCACAGAGCTAATGCATGGGAAAGTCAAGACTGGGCCCCAACATTATTCCTAGCTCCTTGCCCCTTAGAGAGGACCAAGGAGAGTCCAGGACCCCCTGTTGCCACGTGGGGGCCTTGCGCAGTAGAAAATGTGGTGGAATGGCTGATATTTGAGCCTGGGATGCCTTCAAAAAATAAGGTGTGTTTTTGAAGCATGCAATCTGAGTGCCATATACGTTTTATTCTAAGTTTTTAAACATAGACAGTCTCAGTGCATTGCGGACTACTTCTGCCCTCGTTGGTGCATTGGAGCTGGTGTGCAGGTTTATAATCTCAGTAACTACGAATGTGGTGTTTTGATCAGCTGTGATATTATCACTGCCTTGCTATTCATTGCAAAGACTCCAGATGTGCACACTATATATAATTAACAATAGAAGATATATCTTTTCTCAATATGCCTTTGTCTTCTTTTATCATTCTGCCTTGTCTGTTTTCTTTTGCCAAAGAGCCCATGCTACAATTAATGTCTTTAGAATAAAACAGTGAGTGTAGTTTAGTTTAAAGGAACGCTGGGGGAAATCTTAGCTGGAAACATAAAGCTGGCTGTGGGGGCAGAGGGAAGAAAGACAGTGCAGCTCTGACTTGGGGGAAAGGGGATCATTTGCCAGAAGAGTCTTTGCCAGCCCAACACCAGGCTCCCATTTACTGGTGAACAGCGGCCAGCTGCCATTTGCAAAAACAGATGTAAACCTGACCATCTCTAAAGAAATGATTGGAGGCTGGCATTGTGTCAGGTACGGTGCCGTCCAGGAAGTCCTGTCCTTAGACAAAAGCAAAATAGTCGCTAATGAAATTAGAAAAAAACATCAAACTTTGTACGTGTTAGGAACCATTAAACAACTAAATGTCATCTTGGCCGTGGAATTGGAGCCAGTCAAGGTAGATATGCCTCAGCTGAGGATTCATTCAGCATGATTGGAATTAATGAGACCTTCAGATATAACCCTTGATAAACAAGCTCTCTGTGGCAGAAGCTCTGAAGGCCACCGAGTTGTTCTGTATGAAAAAGAGCTGGCATTTGGTGCAAAAAGTACAGTGTGTGAGCAGTGGTCCTAGGCAAAGAGCAAAGGAGGGGACAAAAGGTGGTTAGCGAAAATCCCCTCTGAGAGGAGATGGTGGACAGAGCCCAAGGCGCTGCCACCGTTAAACATGCCTTATGTCATGAACCTCCTGCTAATCATCATTGTCCCCAGCCACAATTAACACAGACTCCTTCGCCTGGAGAAACCCACGCCCCAGTGTTGTGGTCCATAAATTAAGTTAGCAACCACAGGAAGATAATTTTCCAATAATAACTTTTCACAGTTTCCTGCAGCCTCAAAGCACAATCAACATGTCAAGTTCTGTTCTGCCGGGAGAGAGGAGAAACCTGTGAAAATGAGTTGGAGGGGGGAAGATAGATTTCTGCACTTTCTTTTTAACAACAACAACAACAAAAAACAACTCTGGCCCTGCACCTCCCACTGCTACAGTTGGTCCAGAGCCCCCCAAGCAGAGACTTGTTTGGGCTAATGAAGGTCTTTTCCCATCTGGGACATGTGTTCCCTAGAAGAGGAGGCTGTTAATCAGCGAAGTCCAAACACACCAATGAGCGCCGCGGTTTCCGCGTGTGTTTCTGCCGCCCTGCTGCTGGGATTGTAATGGGATTTTCACAGCTGAAGAAGGCAGAGTCTTCTCCGACAGTCCCCCCTGCCTTCCTTCAAGAAAAGGCATTTGTGAATGATTCCACATGACAGCCACATGGGCATGGCTTGAGGTCTAGTAATTGTTTTCACACTAATTTTTACTTGCGAATGCCCCTCCTCCCCCCAGCCAGGCGCGTTTTAAAGACAGATGGCTAGACAGACAGACGAACAGACAGACAAAGAGATCTCCCTGTGTTTCTGTTTTGCAGGCATAAATAAATTTACAAAGAAGCTTCGAAATCCCTACGCCATCGACAATAATGAGCTACTAGACTTCCTCTCCAGGGTACCGTCTGATGTTCAAAAGGTACGTAATGAACGGTCACCACCAACAGGGGGCCCCAACACAGGAGCCTTGCCAGGCCCGGAGCCAGAGGAGCAGGAGGCTGCGTTCCTGTGAGTAACTGAGATAACGATTCAGAAAATCCTCAAAGAGGCCTGGCTTGCAGGGAGGTGGCAAGAAAACCTTTGTCCCAGGCATGAGATGATTGGGGAAAATTATCCTGAAAAAGAGCTGCTTAAGAATGATCTGGAACTCCCACTGTGCGGCTCGAATGCAGTGGTGTTTGTCCCTTTTTTGATTGCTTGCATCCCCCAAAGAGGATAAGATGGGCTCAGTGAGTGGCTGAGTTTGAGGTGCACAACTCTGGGAGGCTGGCTAATTTTTCTGCTCTTCCGGATGGCAGGCATTTTATGGGAAGTAGGGGATAGGAGGATTATTCTCTTTATTCTTGTTTGCTCTGATTATCTCCTAGGCCTCTCTTCTATCTCTTTCCCTCTAAAGATTTAGGGGTGCTTAGGGTAAAGCCCCCACTTACTCTAATTCGCACAGAAGCGGAGACGGTGTGAAATAATTTGAGATCAGTCAGAAGTATTATTCACAGGTAATGGTCACTTAGTCCAGTGGTGTCGCGGTTCTGTGGCTACACAGAGATTAACCAAGGCAACAATACCAGTGAGCCCTATAAAGTGGCCTGATCTGGGTCCCCGCAGATTAGGCTGCTGTTAACCCCAGGGGTGGAGGCAGGCAGCAATTTCTGTGATGGAGAATAGGGATCATCAAATCAATAGACTGGAGACTGTGGCATGAAATAGCATCACGGTGATCAAAGACACAGTTCTTTATTATCTGAGAGAATCCCAAATCAAATACCGATTTTTATCTTTGGGCCACTGTGACGTAATCATTCCCTGGAAGCTCTGGGTGGATTTTGGGGACATGGGCCTGAATGGCCCTAGAGGTTTCTATTTTTTTCTCTTCCTTCCAAATTCTAGAGATTAAAATAGACTCTATGATGCTATAGTCCTTTAATCTTCATTTCGATGCAATGATCTATTAGAATATATTCTATGAATGCGATTTTACCTGTTAACCTTTGCATTATGTGGTTATCAAAGAGTCACCTGGACTTTGGTTGTTTTGCACGGAAGAATGACAAGGGACCTTCACCAAATACTCTGAGGACAGAGGGCTTTTTTTTCATGTATCAGCTTTGGACCACGTGGAGCTCACCTTGGGTGATGGGTCTCCTGAAGTCCTTGGGGACCTTGGCACAAATGCTCAGAGTAGCAGGCACATGTGGTCTGCTATACAATACTGTAACTAAAGCCACGCCACCATCCGCCTATCAGAGCTCGCACACACCCCAGCGGTAGGATTGCAGCATGCCGTCACTCAGGTGGCAGTGTGAGTTCACGCCAGCATCATTGGAGAATGCAAATGGCCATCAAGCCCGCCAAGGACTGTCTGTACACAATGCAGGCACCGGCCCTCAGAGCGGTCATCCAGGTGGAGCTGGCAGGAATACAGAGGAACCTGACAAAGAGCATTCCAGGAAGGTGCATGGCCTGCCAGTGAGATCCTCCGTGCAGAGAGCACTTTCCAATAACACAACAGACAGTCAGCCACTGGGGACTCTCCAAGGGTTCATATTTGTCACAGATGTTTTAGCCATTCCATTGGAAATGAAGTTCATGTTTAAGAGTGATCTGTATAAGGCTGGGGCCAGTGTCCATTCCAACATTATTTTCCTCCCAGGCGAAATACGTGTATATAATTTGCAGACATATTTTCCCCCAGATTTTAGATATTTTTAAATGAATAATTTCTAGTAAGTGGCTGTATCATATACTAAGAGAAACATTCCCAAGAGGCTGTTATTAAGTTTACTCACGGTGGAGAAGGGGCACACACTGAACTGAAATCCTCCAGCAGCGCCCAGAGCAGGTAGACCCCCGTGCATCTCATTAGAAAAATCTGCTTTTAATATTTGGGTTTCAAGAAATGATGCATGACTTCTCAAATCCTTCCTGTAATTAATCCCTCCATGTTCCTGTGTTTAGAAAATGATTCATTACCTTTGAACCTTCCTTCCTTTGCCTGGGTGTGTCCTTGGGGAGCCATTAACACACGCTGCGGTGAGCTAGGGTTACCGAGCCGCCAGCGTCACTTCTGTTTGTTTTCACAGGTGCAGTACGCGGCGCTGAGGCCCTGCAGCAGCCAGAGCCCCCTTCGCAAGAAGCGCAGCGCTCTCTAGGGCGCGCACCGACTGTGGACACCAGTGCCCGATGCTGGGTTTGGGTGATTAGACCAGTGTTATCATTCTTTCGGTGGTACCCGTGGTGTCATTCTGACATGCATGTTGTGTAGCACCCTCTCCGGACTCTTCCCCCTTCCTTCAAGTGCACGGATGCACACATGCAGATGAGCACATGCACACACATGGGTGTCTTACTTGCACAGCGGGTCACCCCAGCAGAAGGAGACAGTCCGGAGACTGTAAAAGACTAAGGCTGCCATGGGTCCGAACGCTCTCCTTGAGAACAGCCAGGAGACTACTTGGATTCTGAGAGCGACTTTGAACTTGTTTTCACACCTCTGGCGGATTCTCAGTAAGATTCATTTATTTTCACTCCCCACCCCCACACTCCTTGCAGATTCCTGTTCACTCAAGTCAGTTTTATTCCCTGATCTAACAAGTCTTTGATAGACACCCTCTGTCCAAGTAAGTATCTTCTCAACAGATTTTTAACTAACAGCCAGAAGTAGCCCACCTATTTGGGAATCATGGAGCTGTGATTAGTAACGACCTATGTGTAACATTTCAGTAAACTCCTCGGTGTTGGGAGCCAGACTGTGCCCAGATCCATTGCTGGCAATGGACGCCCCAAAGGGTGCACTCGTCAAAAAGCAAAGGGTTCCTGAGAGTTATTTGGTTGCCTTAAAGCACCATTCCTTCCAATTTCACCGTTTGCTTATTTCCGAGATAACATGTCAACTAAAGCATCAGAAAGGGGGAGGGAATGAGGGAATGAATTCTGAGGCTTTTTAGAAAGGTAAAGACTATGGAGCAAGGGGCCAGTAAAGGTGGCTGCTTACCTGATTGTCGTAAGCAGTTCAATTGCCCGCATTTTTTGAGCAGAAATGAAAAATACTGTAGCAGTCCAAATTGATCCTAAATAAGCTACCCATAATAAAAATATATTTCAGAGTCTTTTTCCGAGGAAAGTACTGCTTCCTCTGAGAGTGTCTGATTCCTATAGGCCCCGCCATTTCACAGTGATGCTCCCCAAGTTAAAAAAAGTTCCAATTTGGGGCACATATATATACATACATAATATATGAAAATTTCTTTCTTTTCAAATGACATGTAAGTTGTAAAGACTGTATTTTGTTAACACATACTTTGTATGTACATTTCTCTCTCTATGTATATGTATTGTGAAGAAAAGTTGAGGTAAGAAGATCTGATTTAATCATAAGTTTTACTATGTTTTTTTTTCCCCTCCCCTCTCTGGGTTGTAATTTAATAATCTTCAAACAAAATGTTTATGAAAAATGCCAAAGATTCTAAACCTTATCGTCCTGTGTCTGTTTTTCTTCATATTATATCTTCCGGGGTTGCTCTCTGGCTGAGCCAGATTTCTGCATGATTTGATTTACTCCAAGTTAATGAAGCTGGCTGGAAAGAGTCTTGCAGAAATTATAAAAGCTCCAGTAAATCTCTTAGTTGTACATACAATAGATACCCGAGAACCTCTTTTGTTAAACCAGTTACTCAATCTTCTATGTAAACAATGCCTCATTGTCTCACTCCTCAGCTATCATCCAGTGTCTCATAGTCTATCATTTTGTAAAGACCTAAGTCAGACGTTTTTAAACAGACATATGAGATCTGATCAGTCATTTGAATGAAAACTTTCAGCAGCAAAACAACCCCTTATTTATTTAAAAGTGGAACCAATACTTCATTGTTGCTCTTTTTTTTTCCTGTAGAATTTCAAAATGAAATAATTCTCCTGACAAGAAGGCATCATTAGTTAGACTTATTTTCTTCGTAGCCCAACTGAAATCCTCAGCATTAAGTTTAAGCCACAAACAGCCACTGGAGTGCTGGAGCAGGACTGAAGCAACCCTTACTAAGCTATAGATGGAAAATGGGCGTTAATTGATTCAGTACACACTGGACATTAAAACTCAGTGTCAGTTATAGGTGAAATGTGAAAGTTTATGCACATCATCAACTAGATGCTTTAGATAAAATTGTATGGATTGTGGATTCACAGTGTGGTAAAGATATTTTAGCAGGTGAGCTGAAGTTCGGCCAAGCCACACTTCTGAAACCTCACACGCCCATCTCCTGCCCTGCCTTGGATGTCTCAAAGGCATCCGAACCTCAGCAGGGCAGAAACTCAACATTCCCTCTCCCTCCATGTCTCCAGCATTCCCAACCCCATCATCTGCTTCTAGCTCTCTGATTTTCCTTAATGGCGCTGGAATCTTCTGGGCTGGGAGACCCTGGGCATCCCCTTTTCTGTTCCTCGTGCTTCTCTCCCATCTTCCAATGCATAAAATTGGGTGTATTCAATGCTGGCACAGTATCTTACTCATTTCTCTCTTGTCCATTTCCTGTTGCCACCACCCTGGTCAAGGATGGCAATGGTCTGTCTCAACCACATTATCTCATGTTCATCCTCGTTTAGACTGTTCTATTCGCTGGGAATACTTTCTTCTTCGTTTCTGTCTAAATGATGTCTACCTTCCTTCAAAACTTTCACAAGTCTTCTGCCCCATCTAGGCTTTCTTAGTTCCTTGGCTGGATGAGATTCCACCCTTCTCCTTTGCTTCCCCACACCTTATAAATCTTTCTAGCATCTGTCCTATTCTGCCACAGTTCATAGTTACCAGAGGCCTTGACCTTCTCTGTCTTCCACTGGTTAGCCCATCCTATCTGGTATCTAATAGACAGTCTGTAAATACACATATTTAACTGACTAGGTCACAGAGGACTTTTCTTTCTCTACCCTTTCATGTGTGACTCTCAGAACAGGGGGCTGAGCTGGCTAGATGAGCGTGGTCCCTCTAAGGAAATAATTTCTTGATGAAATGCAAAGCTTATATTGTGTGGTACTGTTTATAAGCTCTGGCCATAATATTTGTGGGCTGTCGAACAATTTTTGGTTCTTTTTTTCTTGTCATTTATCCTTGATGGTCTCGCTCAACAAAACAGGCCACATTCCCTGAATAGAGCCAGACATTACACAGATGCTTTGGAGCTGTGGCATGACAGTCTGAAGTTTTAAAAAGAAAATTTCTCCTGCAGGTTGGCAGTTATGCATGTTCATGGAAGAGTCAATTGTAGAATTCCTGATAAGGTGGTAGGGGCCTGGACTTTCAAATGGTGGCACTGGAAGCAGGAAAAAAAATGGAAGTGAAATTGGGAGATGGTTAGGGGGTTAGCGGTGGCCTGACTAGGAGTGACGGAGAGAATAGAGTCAAGGGTGACTCTCAGTCTTCTCATCCCCAGGTCTAGGGAGTTGGCGCTGCCCTTGGCTGAGGGAGAGAATTTCAGGAGCAACCAGGGAGGAACTGCATGAGCCTAGATTTAAAAGGTGTTGAATTTGTGGTGCCTGAGAAGCATTTAATGGGGATGTCAAAGAGGTAAATGGATGTATAGATATGGAACACAGAATGAATACCTACCTGGTGCTTGAGGGAGACACAGTACTCATAGGAAAGGATTGAAGTTACATGTTTGAAGAGTTTTGAGCTCAACACTCAAAGACACATGGATACAGAGGAGTCAGCTAACAGTATAAATAGAACTAGAATGAGAGGAGGAAAAGGAGGAAGCCTGTGCTTTCATAGAATTTAACAATAGTGTTTCCAGACAGCAGGCGTGATCAATAGTGCTAAATTTCACTGACATCACATAAGGTGAGGACAGCATAATGACTTTAATTTCATGACATGGCAATAGGGGGGACCTTGTCAACAAGTCGTTTTAGTGGAGTGGTAAAAATGGAAAGCGGATTTGGATTGAGAAGTGATTGGGTGTCGAAAAACGGAGGCTCTGAATGAAGGTAACTCTTGAGAAGTTCCACTGGAAGGAGAGGGGAGAAGCAGGGCAGTGACTAGGAATGAAAGAAGGTCTATGCCATTGACCTTCTTAGAGTCACTCTATGGGATGATATTAGGAAAAAAATTAGATGTATCATAAACTCCGTGTACACCTATTAGCTACAAAAAATTCCTCATGAGCATGAGACAGAACTAACCATATTTGTTACTTAAAACCATCCACTCATTTTTATAGTATTCATCTAACTTTTATGGCAGCAGAGTGGTTGAAAAATCAAAATAGGATATCCTCTGAAAATGTTATGAATAGTTATGAATTCATATGAATGTTATGAAATGTTATTGATCGATAATTGAATGAAAATTGAAGGGTGATTTCTAAGGAACAGCTTAAAGCTCATGACCTCTTCATATAAGTTTCTTTTTATAAAGCCTGCCTTTTTATTCTGGCATTTTAATATAGTGATTTACATGGGGAAAATGGACAGTCAAGCATAAGAATAGTTAACATTTTATAACACTTATCAAGTGGCAGGTACTTTCTAAGTGTTATAGATGTAATTTAATAATTTAATAATAAAAATATGAAATCAAACAAAACACCAATATTATACAAACTCTGAAAAAAGCTAACACTTTTATACACATTTTATGAGGCCCATATAATCCTCATTTCCAAACCCAACCAGGTGATGCAAGAATGGAAAATTAGTTACCAAAATTCTTAATGAATATAGATGTAAAATTATGAAAGATGTATAAACCTCTACACTGAAAAAATAATGGGAGGAAGGAGATAAGTGAAAGGGATTCATGGGTTAAAATATTCAATAAATTAAGATGTCAATACATGGAATGTAAGCCCAATAGAAATGATAAGTCTGTTTTTGCACAAATGAACCAGCAGATTCTAAAATGTGTATGGAATTACAAGAGTTGGAGAATAGCTAAAGCAGTCTTGCAGATGATTAACATTAGCAGATACCAAGATATATTATAAAACTATTGTAACTAAGATAATATGGTATTAGACAAGAAGTAAAAAAGAGCAGAAGCAGACCCACACATATTTGGTGTAACCTCCGACCTAATTTATGTCCAAGGTAACTTATTTGCAATGTATAAGGAAGAGACCTTTTTGGAAAATGATGCTGGGTGATTTTAGTATCCACGTGGGAAAAAAAATGAATTGACCTGTTCTTTATACCACTCACAAAAATGAGTTCGACATAAATTTGCAGACACAAAAGTGGAGGGCAAAATAAAGATTTCAGAAAATGACATAGAAAGATGTATTCACACTTACATGTTAAACAAAGATTTTTTTTTTAGGCTGGAGACAAGACACTAATCATACAGGGAAAGTATTGATAAATTGGAGATCATTAAAAGTAATCTTTTCTCAAAAAAAGTAAGTGGAAGGATAAGCCACAAAATAAGAGAAGATATGTAATCTCTCTATATAATCTCATAAAGTATTCTTACCTAGAATACATAAAATATTTCTACAGTGAAAACCCAGTAGAAAGATGACTGAAAGTCTTGAATAGGCACTTTACAAAAGAGCCTATCCAAATGGCCAGCAGGTATATAAAAAAGGTGCTCAGCATCATTAGCTATCAGCCAAATGCAGGTTGAATCCCCAAAACAACACTCCTGTACATAGCCTGAATGGCTAAAATAGAAAAGATAGTATCAAGTACTGTCAAAGATATGGGAAAAGTAATTCACATGCCTGTTGGTGGGTGGAAATGTATGTTGGTATGACAACTTTGCAAAACTAGCAGCATCTATTAAAGGCAATCATCTGCATACCTTATAAGCCTTCCCAGCCTGTCACTCTTCGGTGTATAACCAACAGATAATGGGCCTATGTTCAATAAAAGGCATGCCCCAGAATATTGATAGCAGCACTCCTGGTATGATTCTAAAGTAGGAACAGTATATATCCCTCAATATCTGAGTTGATCAATAAGCTGTGACTTGGCAATGGAATACCATACAGAAAAGAAATGAGAAAACTAATGTTATATGCCACAACATGGATAGATCTCACAAACAATGTTAAGCACATGAACTAAGACACAAGCACAGAAAAATTCAATGCGTGATTTCATTTATGTAAAATTGAAAAGCAGGCAAAATATAATCTACAGTGTTAGAAGTCACTGTAGATTAGGAGGCTGGGGGCCTAGACTGAGATCATGAATGGGCTCCTGGAATGACGTTAATTTTCCAGTGTTTTGGTTTGGACTGTGGTTAACATGAGCTTGTCCACTTTGTGAAATTCATTGAGCTGTAAACTTATGCCTTGTGTAATTTTCTGCGTGTTTACTATAGAAAAAAAAGAAAAGAAAAACTATGAAACATGACAGTTTTATCCCTAATTTAGAATAAAGAAACTGAGGCCAATCACTGTTAAGGTTTTAAACATGAAAAATGAGAACTGATTCAAATAAACATTTTAAATTGTGTAAGAGCTAGGAGTCATTTTCAACAATAAACCCCAAAGAGATGGTTCCTCTATAATCTTATTGCATGTGAAACTCAGTTTTATTTTAGCACATATCCATCATCGGTTTTTAAAAACTTTGTTACCAGGAATACTAAAAATGACTTCCCCTAACTGATCACCTATGATAGCATTAAAAAGGCTTATACGCCGTCTGAACAGGTGAAGAACAGAAGAAAGGCACTTAGAACAGGAAGACAAATGGCTTTTTAGAAGAGGAGGAAGAAACATGTGGCACATGGGAACACAAACAACTTTTAGGGAAAATAGATCAGTCCTTAGGAGACCAGAGATGTGATAGCTGTATGTCAATCCCCCTTCCTGTGCAGTGTCTTATCATCATCTCAGGTGTTAAGAGTCAATCTTCCCAGGTTGCTCTTTGGGAGGGGATTCAAAACAATTGAGTTCCTTTGGGGGGCTCTGCTTTTATTCAGCTAAAGAAGTACAAAGGAAAAAAATCCTTTATTTGTTGATTCTCCAGTGCTTTCAGCTCAAAAAATAATTTTGTACCACAGCAGCATATTCTGGGTGCCCCCCTCAATATGCAGATATGTGTTTAGGTATATACACACCTATTCCAAAATTTTTCTGAAGTTACATGTGCCTCTAAAAATTGTCCCATAGAC